CATCTCCCACTGTGGGCCATTGATCTACTGAGCATTATAAAGAAACTAACGATAACTTCGACTTCCTTAAACACACATGCACATATATGTACATACATACACACATATGCATATGCATTTATATAAATGATGTACACATATGAATGATAATGCACTTATGTAAGAAAGTCCCTTTATATGGCATTTTACGAGTGTCTACTTTCTTATTTATGCATTGCACATTATCAACGCTTGTGAGGCAAGATAAAATGTTATAAACAAAACTTATGAACGCGAAAGAACCAACAAAAAAAAAGTGGAGGAAAAATAAAATAAGTTCCGATTACACAATTATTTTTCCACAGCATAGCTCATTGAAAATCCACTTATGCGCGTACAATCATACAGTCTGCGTGCATGGCGGAAGATTCGACTGACGCATGTACTCATACATATGCGCATGCGCCCATGTGTTCGTCGTATTCACTTCCTATATTTTCTTAACACATGAACCGACGAAAATGTAATTAAATTTGTATGTTATGCCGGCATCTTGAACATCGATTTGCTACACACAGTTCATGCAGCACGTGGCTACGCATTGTGTGTCCGTGACATTTCGCCTCGCAATGCCTAACATATGGCCGTAGGAAAGCTTGAAAGTCACCGCGCTTGGCGCGAGTGCAATGATAATGAAAGAAACGAATCAATATTCATACGGAAAAGGAGTACAATTATGAATGACGCGGCGTTTTAAAGTGGCGTAGGAAATCGCTAACCGTTATTGAACTACAAAACGTCACTATTGATTTGGGCCACGTCCACAGCCGTTATTTTTTATATTTATGTCCGTACATAAATGGCATTTTACTTTAAGTTTTAATTGCTTCGATTTTTTCTTATTGCACAACATAAATTTATATTAATAGGTATTTTTTCAGCGCATGATTCTAATTATTCAATTTTTGAGTTTATATATTAAATATTCCACGAACGTTTGACATAATGTGTTCATGCATTGTACATACACTCATATATGGTTATTTCCTACAATCACCTCTAAGAAGTTTAATAGAAATAATTTTACAACTCTGCTGGCAATATTCAACTTTTTATACATATGTATGTATATTCAAGATGTGCTGCACAGCGTTAGTCACGTATTAGTTCTTTTTGAAAACTTAAAAAAATTAAAAAATAATGTCAATTGTCTAAGTAGGAATAAGTTACAATGTGGATATTCTCATTTGGAGTTTATATGAAAATCGATATTTTATGAGAATTATTTAGTTGGGAAAAATAACTAAGTAAGAAAATTTTCAAAAATATTAGTTATATCCTGAACAGGCTATATTAAGTTTGCCACACAGTATCTAACATCCAAAAGAAAACGTTGCAGACCGTATAAGGTACATATAACGGGTGATTTAAGTAGAGGTACTTTTTTATGAGCCATTTTTTGACAGATTCCGTGTGAGTCGTGTCAAGCTGTCATGTTATTTTGGTTCAGTATTGTTTGACATTTCATGAACAAGGTTAACAAATCGTTCAACTTTTTTACGAAAATTTATGTTCTGTGAAGAATGTTTTTCACGGTTTGGGCCGGTCGTTTAGACACCAACATGTGATATTATACCGTTAACATTTTTCTTGTGGAGATATTTAAAGAAAATAATATATATTTATGGAAAATTGGATTCGATGCATGGATCATCCTCAAAAAAATAAATGCCGAAGAATGTTCTTTCGAATAATAATAAACATTCCCCGTTAAATTTGAAGTTTCTGTGTTTTTTCTTTAAAAAGTAAGGAACCTCGAAATAGATCACCATATTTATGTTTCTAAATGAATTCTTGACGAGCTGATACGAATTAATTAATTGTCAGTCTGTCCTTCTATCAGGCTGTATATTTGCCAACTAGTCCCTCCCTTTTTGAGAAATTTATCTAAAAATTTTCACACGTTCTTTTCTGCCCAATAAGCTGTTGGTCGGTCGCGTATAGCGTACCACTGCAGCATATTGTTGCCAACAAACTGATCGTTTAAAGCAAAGGTCAATATTTATACCCTTTAATGCTATAAGAAATGCGCCACTGAAGGGTATTATAGCTTCGGTGCAGTTAAAGCCTAAGTTTTTTCTTGTTTATATATTTTTATAAGATGAGTACAGAAAAGTTCAGCTAACTTTGACCTAAAATTATTACCTGACATATGTACATATATGAGCACTGTCAGAATCACTCTGATCTCAGATTGGCATTCACGGAAATATAGAAGCCAAACGAAAAAGCTCCTGTAGTTGCATCTCTCGGCAAAATTGCCCTGAACGTAACACAAAACAGATTGAGTGTATTAATTCTATTCCGCTTTTTCACGTGGATGTCTAAAAAATATGAGATCAGGAGTATTTTTGCTTTGATCGGTTTGATTATTCTAACTCCTCTTGCTGAGCTTTTCTAAAGCCCAACAGTCCAGTAGCGAACTACAAGAAGCCAACAAAGCTGCTTTCCGTTCCCATTCCCTACAGTTTCCTGCAATTCCGCTGTGGTTAAGCATTCAAACCAGTTGAATCATAAAACAACTGGGAAAAACATCTAAACGACCTTTCTCTAGTCTTGGACGCACAGTCACCGATCTCAAGGCCCTACTATCGTCGTTGCTAGTAACCGATAGAAGAGCATAGTGTTTACAAATTAAAAATGCAAATGTATTATGGTGTGGTAACCGAATTACTATTTTAGAAGTTTAAATATGATGACGTAATATTTGGATTGGTCTAAAGACGTTAGATCTGTACGTCTGTTAAATGCATTTACTTACTGTAACTAAACATAATCGAACTGCTTTATTAATTGTGATACATAATTATTTTTTCAGCTTGTTTTTAAAAAAATTGCTACTTTTATGCTATTCTTATTATATTAAATAATTATTTAAAGATAATTCTAGAAATTTGTTAGAACATCTTAACTGATTCTTACAAATATATTTTTTCTTTTGACTTGAAATTCATTTGAGCTAGATATTTGGTCCACTATTTATTCAGTAGCTCATCTTATTTAAAAAATTTAAATAAAACAAGAAAATCGATTCAAAAAACGAACAATTGTCATACTTATAAAATGTTTTCAATTAACAAAAATATCCTTCCAATAAAAATTTTTAGAGATCATTTAATAATTAAATGGAGTTAAAAATGTATGAAATTGCTTTAATTTCTAATTAATTGAAAGCCGCCTCAATGCAGATTAAGTGTTCAACTAGTAGGTAATTAAAAAACAATTTCCTCACGCCGATCCGAAGATGATTGAGTTGATGGCAAGTAACTGCATACATATGTATACGATATATTCGTATTTCGCACATATTCATGTTACGACGATTAAATAAGGGCGTTATAGGCAGCTCGCGGAAAGCCAGAAAATAAGTGCTGCATTCGAGATTCAGGCACATTACAATTATCAAAACTGCACTAATATTATAAAGAGAAAAGATTTGATTGCTTGATTGAAATTAATAGCCCCTAGTAGGACTATCTAGAGGATTTGTACCTCCAAATAACTTGCTGGTCTGTGGCTACTTGAATTAGATAGGCAACGTGATCCGAATCACCTGTTTAGGTGCTAATGACCGCCGAAAGTAATTATAGAAAAAAATAATGAGCTACAAATTTCAATGTTCACATCTCATCGTCTATATGAAGACCTATTCCCCCCATTGGGATGGCAACTGAAATGATCTGTTAGTATAACATAATCATATACTCGCTTGGATTGTTCCATATTGTACATATCCATTTTTGTTAGCCCTTCAATGTATTCCCTGTGTTTTTTTTTTTTTTATAAAAATAATAAAATCTGGAACGAGAAGCAATAGGAAGCCAATTTTTTTACTTGTAGACGAGCAGCTTAGAATACGATAACGATCCTTTAAGATATTAAAAGTTTTTAAGAAAGTTTGCGATCTTAGTTTTAAAAAAGTTGATCCTAACCAGAACTTTGCATGAAGACTATTTTATATCCTATTTATTAGTCATATGTGGTGTAAAGCAATTGCTGGTGGGTTTAGACATTTTCGTCTAACCTTCTGTGTGTCTATCCAGTGCCTCAGTTTTGAGATATTTATCTGAAGTTTTCCATGAGTCCTTTTCTCCCCGAGAAGCTGCTCATATATAGGAACCGTCGATATCGGATCCCTACACATATGCCTGCCATACGAACTGAACGATCGGAAAAAAATGCCTGTACGGAAAACATTTCCATTGGATGAGATACTTTTAAGAAATGTGATATGGCTTATTATCTAAGGAATCACTCGTGCAAACTCAGCTACAGCCATACAAACTGAACGATCACAAACCAATTGTTGTAAGGTATATTTTGTATTTGTGAAGGGTATTATATACATATTCATCTCAAAAGTATGTATTTTATGGACATGAAGTACACTCATGCATACATACACACATACATAGGCCGATAGCTACAATTCGTAGTGGGTATAAATTTGCCGCTAAATGAAATTGTTGTGGAAGCAAGAGATTAAAAGGTGAAAAAAAAAGCAATAAAAAATCGCTTATGCGTTAGCCTTCAAATCAAATTGTCTCGCTGTTGGAGAAAATGCGCTTCAAGTAAGTCGCCCAGTTGTTCTATGCCTACTTTTAACGTTTTCACAACGTCCGTAAGGGGAAGTGGCAGATGTCATGTCGAAATAAGTGGCCCACGCGAAGTTGTTCAAATCTGCACGAAAGGAGGGGCATAAGGGAGGTTAGAATTGCACACAGCTGGCGAAGCAGACCAACAGAGCTGAATCTGCAAGCTGAAGTATTAATATTGTTTTTGTTGTTCTTACTATTATTATGGTTGTAGCTGTCTACGCCAATGATGCTAATGCCATCGGCAAACTTATTGATACGTCGATGCAAAAACGGCCTGTGGTGTTGTTGTGCTTATAGCAACACATATGTACATCCGAACATACATATGTATGTATATAATACATTTTAATAGTCAGTACTCACTTGCCAGCGCCAGAACGGCGATTGTGATGAACAGTGGCAAAGCTTGGCGATGATTGCTGCCACTACTGCTGCCATTGCGATAACAGGTTAACCTGTTGCAACGGCTTTGTTTATGGCAGCTGCAATTGCCGTTGGTGCCATTCATGTTTGCTGCCACACCGTGCTTGTTGCTGCCGGTGATGCACTCTGCAGCGGTGTCTTGTCGTTGTTGTTGCGCGAGATCGCAGCGCACTTGTTTCCAGCATGTCATGTTGCCGTCGTTGTTGTTTTTGCTGCTGTTACTTTTGTTGTGGCAGCTGAATTTCTTGTTTGCTTTCTGTTTCGTGTTAAACGGTTGTTGTTTTTGTCGTTGTTGTTGTTGTTGTCGATTCTGCGGTTATTATTGCCGGTAGTTGATTGTATTTTGTGTGTTTGGCAGCGCCTCTTGGTCAATATAATCTTGTTTCTCCCGGCTGCTTGTATTGTATATGGTACAAAATAATTTATCGCGTTCGATCACTGCGCTGTTGAGTGATGATCCTATGGATACCGAAGATGCCACAGCGTCAAGTAGTGCAGACGACACTGCGATCGTTGTATTTAAGTAAAGCAATGAATGAAGCACAAAACGTTGAACCCGTCAATGGCGATGGTGTCAATACTTCCAGAAAGTATAGAAAACACTATCGCAAAATGCCAATTACTCTTCCTAATCGCTCTTAGCACACTAGCTATTAGTGCAACTTCGACTACGGCGACACCACTTGCAGCGCGATTTCACGCGAATCACACAAATGTACAAATTTCACTAGAAGAATTCTTCGAAAGTGAAACACCCGATCACGTAGGCCTGAAGTGTTCAAGCCATATATGCCTACAAGCACCTTGAACACACCAATTCTACACAGTTTACTTTTAAACGTTTCCCTTTAGCTTCTTCTTTGCAATAATATTACTTTTGTTGATTTCTTCAAATTATCCGTGTGTGTCTTCTTTTCACTGAATTATTGTTTTAGCCACTGTCTTGGCTGTCATCACTTAACCCAAAAAGTCGAACTGTTCGCGCCCAATACACGTGAAGAACTGAAACCGAAACTGATTTGGAGAACAGAAATCAACTTTTCCTCAACACTGAGAACCACTACATGTGCGCACTCAACGTCAGCGGCCAGCATAAAACTCAACAACAACAACAAYGGCAACAATACGTCCGTCCCTCCATTCCGCTGCAATCTTTAGTCTTCAGTCGGCGATCCAACCATGTGCATTTCGTGCTCACAGATATCCATGCAAGCAGCGAAGCACACTGGTATGTATGTGTATGTGTGTGTGTGTACCCATCACTATGTGTGCATGCCTGTGCCCATAAGTATGGATATTCATTGGCATTGTCTTCATTTATTTTCTTTTTTTGTCCTCGATCTTCAACGACCGCCGTCGCCGTCGCCGTCACTGCTGCCGCTTAAGCCTAGATCGGTTCGACCGGCTTGTGTCGGCTCGGCTGTGTGGGTTGTTGGTGTCGCGCGTCGTGCGGCTATGTTTTGCTTTCTTCTCAATCCCGTAGCGCAGCAGAAAGACGTGCTCTTGGTCGCGCTCCTTGTTTCTGGATATTTAAATACATACGAACGTGTATTTACATTAGGTTTATGTGTGTAGAGTCAATACATTAATATGCGGTTATTTGGGTAGCTGCAATTATACTTTATTGCAGATCACATTAGGCTGTGTCGAGTTTTCTGCTTTCAATGTTCACGGAGAAATGAAGACTACCGCTTTAGTCATGGACACAGAACGCGAGGGTCTTAAATTTTTAATTGTTTTCCCAGTTTATTAAACAATTGATAAATTATAATAAATGCAACCAGAATTTGTGATTTGTGATATCAAAATTTAGACTTTGTGGACGATGTTCATGATCTTCATTGATTAACGAACCTTAATTGGATTGAATGAAAAGTTAGCCCACTTAGTCTAATACTTTGTCACTTAACCTGGCTATAACTAAAATGCCATGTAAAATCGTTCCTAACCATATGAGATTTTAAGTTTTGATTAGGAATAATCTCAGCGTTGTTTTCTTTGAAGATATCATCCTACAGGTGTGTCTCAAAATATTGTGCAGCACGATTCCTGCTGAGAATAGTCATGAATACTTAGATAATGATTTATTTCTATTAAATAACACTTCGATCAATCATTTCGGAATTTTCTTATCTATTTGAAGAATGACTGAGTTAAGTGGCTTAGAACTGGGTGTTCTTTAGTGCTTTCAGCGAATTTTGATTTTTTTCGGTTTTAGCTAATTTTTGTAGCCCCATTCGCTAGATTGTTGGACAGTTTCGAGGCCACATTCTCAAAGCTGAGTCTATCTACCAATAACGATGCGTTTGACGAATGTTGAGTACCCTTCATTGTCAAGCATCTCTTTGCTAACTCTACACGACGGGGATTTTGCAAACGATTCAGATTTTTTGGTACGAATTTTGATTTAGCTTCATTTCCAAAACATTAACTAAAATGATGGATTTCATTTACCTCGATCAGTCATTTCGGAATTTTTTTTATCTGTTTAAAGAATAATCAATCGACAACCTGAGGTGGCTTAGAACTGTATGATATGAGTACCTTAGAAATATTAAATAATTTCACTTTTACAAAAAGCGATCCTCCTTAATACAGGGCCATACTTGGGTGCATATGAAGGCATGCACTTCGGCGGAATGCATATCCATCATCGCTCCTGGGTCCGAGGCTACTTAAAAGACATACTAGTTGTTGCTTTCTAGTTTTGAAGTAAACGCAGCAGAAATTACACAAGTCAATAAATGTTGGTGATGATATAAATTGTGAGTTCAAAAGAGCGCGATTGACTAGAATATATTTTTTTATCAGTGTTATTCTTAATGTTATTCGTTTTAAATGCAGAAATTACAAATTAACTAATGATTTTATAGAGTTTTTATTTTTTAACTTCGACTAGGATATATTATATTTTGTAATAATAAATTTTCAAAAAAGAAATTGTGCACGGAAAATAATAAAGTAAAAATTATTTTCATTAGCTTAACTTTTTTTTGGATTTTTGTCAAAGTAAGTCCGCCAAAAGGGCTACTATATCTATTATATTTCCAAATGGAAATACATTCGTATGCATTGGTACACTTTACTAACAATTTACTTTGACTGTATCCGCTCTTAGAATCGCATTTGAATACATACATACATACTTACCGATTCCATATGCATTAGTGTTAAATGTGCTACCAACATAGAATTCTTCGGATGCCGATTGCTGCTGTCTTATTGCCTTACAAGTAGGTAGACAATTTGCTCGGGGCTCTACTCTATGATGAAAACGTTGTTGTTGGCTTACCTTGACAAGAAGAGAGTTGAGAGAGGACACACACAATTTTGGAGTCTTTACCATTCTGAACACACATACGCATACAAACATATGARTTTATTTGTGTGTGTGTGTGTAGTGTCATATTCGAGTATTACTAGCCCAGGGGGTTCCAACTTCTATGGAAATTCGTGTGGCATAAGATTGGACTCAAGTATTTGTTTGAATAATTGGCAACAACAAAAATAATTGATATGCTGCCTGTTGGTTTCTTGGTTTGCCGGTATGCCGGTCTATCCACCGCTTGATTCGTTAGCTAGGTATACACTTGTAGACAAACATACACACATATACACGATATGTATGAAGTAGTTGTTCGTGTGTAATTTTCATTTAAATTGTCACTGGTGTGATTATATWTGTTAAATTTATTTATTTATTTTTTGTTTTCCTTCTCCACTGTTTGTATTAGTTCTGTTTTTTGTATGTATGTATTTGGTTAGCTGATTTGAGTGTGTTTGTAGTTGGTGTCATAGAACAAATTATGGCAAGTTGTGTATCAGAAGCAGAGTAACGAGGATTAGAAGGCATTTACAATATCTGGGTGTAGGTGTTTGAGCACTTGTGAGTGGAGTCCTTTGTATATTCATACAGGTGATATGTAAGTGTTCTGAAATATTTGTGGAATGTGTTTGCGGATGTGCGTGCCCAGACAAAGCGTCTAAGAAAATTGGCTGTCAGAGACGTCATTGAAGTGCTAGTATCTGACATTCAGTAGAAAGGAACTCCATGATAAATATGATACATACATATGTAAAATAAGCAGAACAAATCTGCATAAACACCAAATATAATACTAAACCTGTTCGAAGTTAAAGTCCTTCAATTTTGCAAAATAATTAATGTTGTTCCAGTAATGGATAATATCGACTTGTAAGACAGAAAAAAAAATATTTTTTGTGAAGAGGCATTTTGATTAATATAAAAAATTAAAAACAAGTAAAGAAGGACTAATGTATAATATGTATTATAATATATTTATAATATTGCAACTTGCAGGAATCAAAGCTTAACCTTAAGATGTAAAACGTCAACCAGAGGATCGGAATTTTATATATACATACATATACTCTATATAACTCATACACTGACCGAAATTCGGCATAAGATTTGATAGAAAATCATTATACTTATACTACATAACTGGAATTGGGGTAGTATCGACTCGACTTTATCTATTAACTATTATCATGCCACATATTGAAAACGTGTTTCCTGGGTTTCATTAAGGACCTCACATATAATCACCAATCATATAGAGTAAAATCAGCCGGATGTTCCAAAATCCTGGTATTTGTTATATGAGGGCTAGATCAAGTTTTCGCCCAGTTCTGCAAAGATACACCATTATGAGTAAAACTCGCTCTCTTATTTTCATTAAGATAGCTCACATATTCCACTGATCCCATGACCGATCTTCAAGAGGGCTTATCAGCTTTTTCTGGCGCTAAGGAAGATTTTTTCTACTTTAAATTATCCATAATTCAAAAAATATTACTATAGATGAATGTAGGTTATAGTTGAAGAGCTGATAAAAATTTTCATTTTTGACAATATGGCGGCATTCCAAAATCGTTTTTTGTGAAAAAATGTACACTTAGAATGGCTTAAAAAATCGAAGTTATTATAAAAATCGTATCTCTTCGATCTCCTGACATATATGTATATCTAAGAAGGTCGTGTGAAAATTTCAAATCTAACCTATTTGCAGAAATTTTGCTCATAGTTTCTGAAAACGCCTTACAGGTATAGGGATCGGATTACAATAAGTTAAAAAATTCGTATAAATTCGACCATATCTTCAACGAGATCAACTTCACACTTTCGGCGATTGTACTGAAACATATGCATGTAGTATATTAGATGTACTTGTATATACCAAACAAATAATCCAGCTTTTGAAATTTACAAGTGGGCCTTAAATTTATGTAGGATGGCATTACTGAATTATTAAAATTTAGTCAGAACAGACTAAGAAACTCAAGAAAAAGATAAATTGAAATTCATTTAAGTAAAAAATTGTTTTCTTTCAGAAAACTCAATACCTCTTCGCTGATGACAGGAAATTTGTAAGACCCCCTATAAAAGGAATACCCTTAAAATTAGTTACATATTACGGAGGTGAAAGTGTTCAAGTTTTAAATTAATTCATAGTTTTTCAAATGAGACAATATTTTCAAATTACAGTGATTTGATTTATGAAGTATTTGAAAAGTTTTGTATGCACGATTTTACTAGGAATCATTTGACAAATTGATCAGTCACATTTGTGCGTACTTATTTAGTAGGCAGACAAAACCAACTCTTCCTGCCTTCGAATGGCGCACTTGTTGCGTTGAATGATGGGAGGGTCATTAACATTCTCTCTGAAACGTAATGCTGTCGTTGGGTGCTCGTTTGTTCATTGAAGATCTGCCGCAACATGTGGTCACCGCGAAAAAAGTGTCAAAAGATAACGAAAATTCCATGCTCTTTAGGAAAAACACAATCACTTGCTAAATTATTATGTCAAAATGCATTCGATATGTCATGGAACATACCCTGTAGGAAAGAAATAAACGAAGATACGATTTTTTTTACTTAGATACATATGCAGACTGTTCTTACAGTGCTGGTAGTTACTATTAGGTTATACTACTATTAAAAAATGGTAAATAAAATTTATCA